TACAAAGGATTGGGATGAAATACTATGATTCTGATATTCTTATCATGGCATTTGAATATTTTGTCACATTTCAGTCATTATATAACAGACATCAAAATGATTTCAAGTTACTCAGTGTGAGAACATTACCAGCTTTGACATCAGAAGTTTCAAAATTAGATGACTTTAATTTTCTTGGTAATATTTTAGTAGAATCTCTGAAAATCAGAAAAAAGAGTATTTTTTTTACTTGATGTCAAAATTGGTCTACAATATCAAGGGGGGAAATTTATTTGGTTTGACTGAAAATGTAGAGGCATTAGCAAAAACATTATTGGGCATCATATTTTTAAATGGTAGACCAAAATTTTGACTTAAAATGATCCCAGTTGTAAAATTAGAAGCCACTTTTTTATACCAAAAAATATTACATAGAGTTGATGCAGTCAGACAGCCAAGTATTTGCAATTTTATGTGACAATAACAAGATTCATCAATTTTTTTTAAAAAAATTTGACATTGTTTTTAACAAGCCTTTGATAACTAAAAATGGCTTGAACTTACTTTTTGATTATGTCCACCTTTTTAAAAATATTTGGAATAATTGGATGACTGAGCCTACTTCTGAAGGCAAAAAGATGACAGAAAAATGGGAAAATGCTAAAAGTTTATTAAGCTGTCAAAACTAACTGATGTAGCAGTTTACCTAAAACCTGTTGAGAGACAAAATGTTTCCCATTGTTTAAAATTTTTTTGTGATCAAACTGTAGTTGCCATTAAAACACACCCAATATAAATGGGGAGGATACTGCAGAAACAGTTAATTTCATTGAAAATTTTTTTAGTTTTATAATATTTAGAAATATATGGTGACACTAAGAAAAATGATCCACTGAAAAAGTGATATTAGATTTAAATAAAGAACATCTGTTATTTCTTTCTAATTCTGGAAAAATGGCAAAAAGAAAGGAAGGAAAGCAAGGAAAATGAATGAAATCATTAACAAGAGATACTAGTTTTGTCATTGAACATACATGCAATGGCTTAATTGATGTTGGTAGATATAAACAATAGATTTAATTTTGTTATGCTTGGTGAATTTACCATGGACTATGAAATGAATTAGGAAAATTAAGACAATTGGTTACCTCCCCATTATCATGTTAATTAATTTTGTGTTCTTGTTAATATAAATTGATTTTAATTATTAAAACTATGTATATTACTAATATCTATTATTGTATCATAACAAAATAAGTATTTTCTTGATCTTCTGTGAAAGAAATTGTACATGTAACAAAAATCACAATAAATTTTATAAAGATTATCAAAATTATATTTTCTCTGAAATTCACATTTATTCACAGTATTTTCAGACTTTGTTGATACACAATTTTGTAAAATGCTGAAATTGCTCTCTGATTGTATTATACAATTATAATTTCTGTAATCAATTGACATAAACAAATTAACTCATTATTTTTGCAATGTCATAAAAATATCTAATTTATGGTGAATAAAATAATTTTTGCGCATTTAATTATGGCATTTTTGTTCTTTCTTTACACATTTGCATTTATGGAAATAAGTTAATAATTGTAAGATTCTTCCTTATATTATATATATTTCTTAATTAACTAATTACTGGACATTACTAACAAGTTCCTTGCTAAAAAAGTTCTCAGTAATTGTTATTTAGTAGTAATTAAAGTCTCCACATGTCTGCCCCCAGTCATGGACCCCTAGTTTCAGGTTGCCAGGCCTAGTATAAGAATTGACTTGGCTATGTCTCTTCAGGATATGGCTGATCGTGACTCTCTACAAGTTCCTATTCCTTTATAATTCTTAGTAAAGTTTTTCACCATCCCTCCCAATCTTTGTTCTGCCATATATTTGCACAAATTCGTTAGGTAGCTTACTTGCTGTTTCCCTCTGCCCCTCTTGCATTTAACATGTCCTCGTAAGTGTCAAATTCTCTAAACCATCTTTTCTCCTTATGCATTCTAGAAATTTCAATTGTTTCTTTGGTTAGTAACTTGGAAAAAAAAATCAGTGCAACAATTATCCTAGGGATATCAATCTCTTCCTCCCACCAGCTGTGAGTTAAATAGCAGGGTAGACAGGTCTTTCTTGCCTTGAAGTGGCAAAACAGTGTAGATAACACTTAATTCAAAACCAATACACAGACAGATGGGGATCAATCAGACTATCTTTCCCTAGACATGCCACTATTGCAATATCTGCAGTGATCCTACAACCATAATGGGTTACAGGACTTACAAAATGGCATCATTTTAAAATTATTATTATTTTTTTAATCGTTTCATCCCAAGCAAGGCAATAAAGTCCCCAAGATTTAAGGGATCACTGAGTGTGAAAGTATATAAGAAGAAAAAACATTATTATGGAGTGAGAACAATAAAAGAACAGAAATTAAGAAGATGAAATATAACAACTGACATTGCATTTAAATTTTTGAAGATCAAATTTAACGAGAACGCAAGAAGATGTCAGAGAGAGAGTTTGATTCATAAAGTGTGAGAAAAAAGACTGTTAGCATAGAATTTACAGTTACATCTAGCCATTTCAACTGCAAAATGATGAGACTTTTCCAAACAATCTAGTACTGTCCTTAAATCCATAAAGTCTAGGCATCATAGAGGAAATGTCAAAATTTCATCAGAACAATTAACATGAAAGTATTTATAGAAAAGGAATAGGGAAAATACATTATGACTGTGGGACAGTGTCTGAAGTCAAGATGCCAGTTAAGGATCAATAAAATTGAAAATTCTTCTTTGGATTTTATCAAGAATCTCTAAATACATAGCAGGGGCACCAGAACAGATGTGACTGCAATATTCAATGCACAGATAAATGGTAGACTTATAAATATGTTAGATAGATTCTGGTGAGAAAAATTGTCTAGCATGACACAGTAAACCAACTTTCTTAGCATCTCACTAAGCAATTGATTCAATATAAGTAGGGTTTTGTCTGTAACATTTTGTAACTTCTTTTACTATATAGAGTTTGCACTGACAAAATTATATATATCTTACATATATATATATATATATATATATATATATATATATATATATATATATATATATATATATATAGTAAGTTTAAATTGATTATTGTGGCATACCTAAACATACCATGTGGTATTTCATAGTAATTTTCACTTTTATTAAATTTAGACAACTGATGTCATTGTGTGCTGCTTTCTACCTGGATGGAATTAGAGAAATGATTGTCAGGTGTGTGTAATATTTCTTATTTATTAATTAAGTAATTTAGCTATAGTACCATTTTAAATATCTTCATTTTTTTTCAGTTATTTTTGCATTTTGTTCTTTTAGAATCTTCTTATCTCTGCACTTTCTAAAATTGTTGAAACAGTGCAAGGGAGATAACTCTATATCTGTAAATGTACTTATAAATATTACAGACAAAAGCCTACTTGGTATATTTATATAGTAAGCCAAAATTAACCCTTCTGGCATATCTAACCATAGCATGTGTTATTTCAGAAAAATTTTCACTTTTATTAAATTTAGACAATTCTTGTCATTGTCCATTGCTATCTTTCTGGTTGAAATTAGAGAAATAATTGTCAGGTGTGCGTAATTAGTTATTTTTTTTTTCTGTGTACTACATGGTAAGCATTCATGTCAAACCATGCAAATTCCCCATCTAATAATCTTGACCTTCTTGAGATAACCTTTCTTTAATTGTCTTTTTCTTCTTCTTATTATTATTATTATTATTAAAAAAACATGATGTAATTATCTTATGCAAAAAAAAAAACAACGCTTGTTATTAAAGTAAAGAAAAGTTCACCTAGCGTCTGATAACACTCACCTGCCTGATGTCTGTGTCTCAAGGACCTTGGAAAATTGTTGACTCTTCATAGCTGGTTAATTACTTGAATCAGTATAACTCAACAATATCTTATTGTTCAACTGATTTTATCTTCTATAAGAAGGAGAGTGTAATGAACAACACGGCCTCAGAATATTGTCTTTTTATGCCACTTTTTAATAACCTTTTACATAGACCTTAATTTGATTTAATTTGGGAATAATCCAGAACATTTACTGAAAACAAACCACCCACATACAGATAGAATATGAATTGAGCAAGTGCACAAAAATAGCAGACCTTGTGGTTGAGGTAGTTGTATATTTCCTACTATCACCAGTAACCAGTGTTTTAATCCCATTTAAAAAGAAATCTGGAGTAAGAAAAAAGAGAAATCAACAGATGAAGTGATGCTTCTTTCTACCACTGTAAGTTATGCTGAAATAGACTTAATATAAGAAAGACAATGTTACAAAACTGTATATGGTAACATGAGAACAAATGAAAAACAACAAAGTACTGCCAGTGAGGTGAAAAGAAAATACGACAAGCTATGTTAAAATAAAATCTTTTTTATTACAGATACAAAAGATCAAAGTGGAATATCAAAGTGGGCAGGGGAAGTTACCTGGAGGATGTGGAGAGTAGGTAGAGCCCAGCATTGGATCTTGTGTCAGTTTGGTTGACCAAGATCACAGTTGGTGATGGTTATAGTCTGTCTACTTACCTTCAACTGTCTTGAGAGTCACAAACAAGTCCTTTTAAGCAGTTAGGGTAGATACATGACTGATTTTTAGTCATGGCTTTTGCTTTGCAATGTTTATGACTGCCTCCTTTTAAGTTATATTTTATATTTGGGAAGATTTGTTTTGGTTGGTTGTTTTTGTTTAGTGATATATCAAAGTCTATTAGTTAATTAATGCTGAAATTTAAATATTTTGAATGCAATTCCAGTATTTTTTCACAGGGAGATAATAATCATTTCAGTGATACAAGCCTTACGAATTAACTCATAGCTGCAGGAGAAGAAGTAGACTCATACCTTTCCTTGAGGGTATTTGCACATAAGTGAATAAAGTAAACCTAACTCGAATTGGAACTTGGCTCTCTGATTAGCAATTCCAAGTTGTTACCACCTACACATCCAAGTTTACAGGACCTAGTATTCCTAAAGGGTTACCCATCTAGGTACTGACCAAGCTCAACATTACTTAACTTCAGTGATTTTACAGGAACCAGTGCTTCAATGTGATGTGACCATAAGCTGGAATTTGTTTTGTGAGCCAAATGTGATGCTCAGTGTGCCTGTGCAGAGAATAATTTTTATATTTGGGATTTGTTTTCTTAGCCTTGACATCAGATCAACAAACAGATTTTGATGTGGATTGAATCAGAAAGAGATCTAATTTGAAGCAGTGTATAATAAGATGTTTTTTAGTCAACAAACAAATTTGTAACTGTTTCCTATGAGTGGTTAATAAAAGTGTGTAAGCATAATACTATAAATTAAAAGAGTTTTTTTATGAGTGTGAAAATATTGTCCAATTTTAGTGAAGTGCAATCCTGATGTTTCTTTGCATGAAGAATTGTCTGAGTTATAGAAAGTCCTTCATTAACTGGTGCAAGACAGGGAAAATGCAATTAGGCACAGGGAATATCCCTCTTTGTTTGATGTGGGTCAATTAGGACCATATTGCTATAGGTTGTGAGTGGATCCGGTCACAGGAATGGTCCTGATTGGCCCTAAATTAGTTATTTGTTATTTGAAGTTTTATAACACAGCCAAAACTTATGTGCACAACATATGCACAGAAGATACATCTACACATTTCTCTCATCACTGAGATATGTGTGTATACTTCCACCTAGGTCCTCCAACAAAGTCTGACACTGTTTTATGGAAAATGTAAACAAAAAGGATACTTATAATTAGAATCAGAAAAAGACAGTCGACATTTCTAAGACATATAATGAGGAAAGAGAGCTTAGAGAATTTGACACCCATGGGATATGTTGAAGGCAAGAAGGATAGTGAAAAACAGTGCATAATGTTTATAGCAAGCTTGTGTAAATGGTTGGCAGGACAAGGATCAGGGGAAATAACAAATAGCAAATTTTACTAAAAGTTACAAAGGACAGGAAGTTGTGGAGAGCCATAATCGCACATAGATAAAGGAAAAAAGTAGAAGTATTCCATATGTCTTATTTATGCAATGAAAAAAAATAAGGAAATTTTTACAGCATTTTCTTCATATCTAAAATTACAAGGAATGATATTTAAGGATTTGTTTCTTGAGAAACTTGTCCAAGACACATTATGCATGAATGAATATCTATCTGGCTTTAAATCCAGATATGTGGAGGGAACTGATCTGGTACTCAGCTGAGCCTACGACCATATACAATGGTCATGCAACTGATGATGAAGATTTTTCAGATAAGACAAATGATACGAATCTTTCACTTGGTTTTTCTATTGCAGTTGTTTACCTTAAATACTTTGTTCTTGAAAAACCTCACCTTTACCACAAGTTTACAAAGGTCAAATGGAATGATTGTGAATGAATGTTTTTTTCTATATTGTCAGTGTTATAATATGGTGGGTGGTGGAGGTTATCTTATGGCAAAATGTCCATTCCCACCATAGTTCTATATAAGTTTGTGTAAAGATTAAAATAAATGTATACTATATATAAAATTTTCGACAGAATTATTTGCCACCACTAAATATTTGCATATTTTCTAAGGAAATGCAAATATTTGCAAGTACTTACTGAATTTACAATAAATAGTTGATTCCATATTTAATTTTGAATAATTCATGAAATTTTTAGAAGTTTTGATCTATTATATTCATAGTTATAAATTTTTCTAAAATTATTCACACCATCCCCGCTTATGGAAATTATGAAATAATATTGCTCTATGGCAACTGCAAGGCTTTTTTTCATAATTTGACATTTAATACAAACACCCTTTTAAAATGAAATAGTAATGACAAAAGTACGCACTTGTATGCTTTAAAAAAGTTTTATTCAACTGAAAATACAAGATTCACATATAGTGTCCTTTTATAGTTCCATTAAACAGAAATAGCTCTCTCAAAGAGGGGACTAACAAAACAAGGGGAGAGTACTCTTGATTATTCTAAACAATTGTACTGACCTGATTCTTTAACATTCTAAAAGGTAATGAAGGAGATAATATGTGAGTGCCACATACCATGATAATTCATTCATTCTGCAACCACAGTGAAGATGGCTGAACTTGACAAGAATCTCCAAATTAAGGTAGTTGGTGCGTACAAACCAGACAATGGATATACAACACTTTCCAAGAGTTTAAATGTTCCTAGATTGACAGTTCATAGCATTATCAAGAAGTAGAAGACTTATTGTGCTGATTATAAATTAAGGACTGGCAGAAAATGGTTAATTTATGGGAGAATGGAAAGGAAAATTGTCAGAGATATCTTGAAGAATCTTCACTTAACAACAAAGGACATTGTCAATGATGCAAAGACATCAGTGTTGAATGTTTCAACAAAGACAGTCACTGGATACTTTCATCAAGCAGGACTTTGAGATTGTTGCCCAAGGAAAAAATGCCTAAGCATCTTAAATGCAGATTAGCTTGTTTCAGAAGCCATCTTGAACATGGAGGTAAATATTGGAAGTCTGTTTTATGTTCAGATGATACCAAATTAGAATTATTTGGTTGCATGAACTCCTGTTATATTTGGAGGAAAGTGAATGAAGCTCACAAACCAAAAAAATACCCTTTCTACAATTAAGAACAGTGGTGGGAGCATTCTGCTCTGGGGATGTTTTGCTGCTTCTGGATAAGAAGAACTAGTGAGAGTACAGGGTATCATGAATAAAGAGAAGTATTTGGCTATTCTTCAAAATGATATAAAACAAAGTGCATGAAAGCTGTCTTTGTGCCACCACTGGATGTTCCAACATGACAATGACCTGAAAAACACAGCACAAATTGTTACAAAATACATAGATGTGTGGACTCTTCCACAACAAGCTAGTTAACCCCTGCTAGGAAATGCACTATTCCTGTTATAATTTTTACCATCACAATCTTACAAAATATATAACATGCATCCATTGGTCAATCACCTTCAATCTAGCTTGCTGATTGGTCAGTTCCGACCAATCAAATTGCCTGCACGCGACAAATCTGTTTTACCGCATCTTCCATCTGAGCCAGTCACGTGATTCACAATGATATATAAACAGAACACGTGTAAACTCCCTCGAGTTTCTTTTCATCTCTCTCTCATGTCTCATTCCTTGCTACCAAATGCCAAGATGTAATCTTCAAGAACTCCCATCTTAGCCTTTGCGGTCAGACATTAAAGACCATTACCAACATTCATGCAAGTACGAACTCTGAAATCTCTTCTAAACTTTTACCAACTTGTACAATGCACAATTCTAAACATGCTAAAACTTTATTCTTCTAAACTACAGTTTAATAATTACTTTCACTTTATGAACTAGGGTACAAATATTACCTCGTCTAAGAGACACAACTCTGTCTAACTTTTCAGTTCACATGCATGTATATCAAATATTAATAAATTCAATTGTTATGTTTTGAAATCATTACGTTCAGTTTTGTATTTTATACTATGTACTATTTACGTCAAATATAAATTGCATTACGTCCATGCATTGTTCTTAATCCCACCTTTCCTAGCCAAAGTTAAATATTGGTACAGATGACACAAAAATTAAGATACTTGTCCTATCCTAAGTCCCATGTGTTGATATGGAAATGTTTTTATGTATGTACTGTCTGTATTAGATATAAGTTAAATTCTTTAAGAATGGATTCATGGTGATGTAATATAATGTTTTAGACTTGTCTTTATAGTTGGTAATAATGTTATTATTGAATTTTCAAAGTATTTTCTCCTTAAAGAATTATATTCTTTTTTAATTAGGGTGGCATTATTAAAATCAAAGTTATGACCAGTTTTGTTCCTGTGTAATACTTTATTTTTCTATCAATGTTTTTTTATATTTCTATCATTATTTTTCTATAACAATACCACCAAGCAATGTCCCCCAAGGACATAGAAAAGTTATTGATGTTCATGGTGAGGTTTTGGAAAAACTGCTGGTGGATAACCAAAAATGTTTGGTGGGCTTAATGGCATCTAGCTATTGAAAGTAAATTATTCCCTAGACATTTACAAAATAAATGGCAAATTCTGTCTGTCCATTTATATGACTGAAACCACTCTACCTTGGGCCACACTTGCTCTACATAAATATATTATACTTTTTTGGAATCAGGATGATCCCCTGATTAAAAATCTGCCCTTCATTTAGTGCTTGAACATCCAACATTGGAATTTGTATCCGGATGAGAAGGGAACAGTTAAAAATTTCAATTTTAAAATAACTGAAAAAATGAGTGATTTTAAAAGTTTTTAATTTATATTAAGTTTAAAGTAACACAAAATTTGTGAATTTAAAAATTTTTTTTTTACATTTTCTGAATTGCGGAAATCAATTTTATTTCTTCAAAATGCCAAGGAATCAGAGTTAAAGTAAGAGGTATTATGACATGAGGTTTTAAAGTTTCACAGATTTATGATTTGAAGAACTCAATTGAAGTTTCACAACCCAAATTGAAGTTTCTGTCCAAATCAGGCTTTCAGCCCAAATCAGTCTTTTGGCTGGAATTGGTCTTATAGCCGGTGATTATCAGTTAAAGTGAGGTTTTCAAGTTCCATGGAGTGAATTGAGGAATTCAGTTATTTATTCAAAATAATCATTGCTGTTTTCCAAACTGAACAAGAGGTCCCTTTAGTTTAGGACTGAAGATCTAATTATCCCTCCACAGTAGCTAGCTTAAAAGTCTGCACTTTTAAACTAGTTTACAATAAAAATGCCTAGAGAGAAGAGAAGCCTGAAGAACATAAATTAAATTTTTATCTTCTATATTTTTTTTTTATTTCTATATTTTGTTAGCATGTTCTCTTGAACATGCTAACAAAATATAGAAATATATATTATATACCTTTTGTCTGACACTAAATAAGTAAGTGGATGTCACAAAATCTGTCTTTACTCACAAATCTGGCATGTCATGTTACTAAAGGTTGTGTTTACCTACATATATAGAAGGTATTTTCTCTTAGCAATGTCTATATTTATTGTTCCTTTTGTAAAAATAAAACTCTGTTGATTGATTGTTGACTGGCCAAGTCTGATGCATCCTAATTGGGGAAGAGCAGAGGAAATTAACACTGACTGTACGATAGTAACAATTTATCAGGTTTAATCATCTACTAATTTTCAGTTCAGTCTTAAAAAGAAAACTGATAAGAACTCAGAAAACAAGGAAAATTATTGGAATATAAACATAAATGTTTGTATATTGATCATACAATTTTGGTAAAGCTCTAGAAACATGTATCAAATTTGAGTATATATTGATGCTCTTTGTGATGCATAAATATATCTATGATGATGCCATATAATTATTCTCTTAAGAACATTCCTGGAATTTGCATTTTCTTTCTGGAATATTCTTTGAAATTTTTCTCTAGATTAAATTGTTTCTGATAGATCAATATTTCTATTTGTATTTCATTGTATTTGAATAATTGAAGATTATTATCAGGGAAGCAGGTAAGAAGGGAGTTCCACAGACAAGAAGTGTGAGACATGAATCTATTGGAATAGAAGAGATGGCTATATTTAATAGTTTTGACAGTGAAAGGGTGGGACTGAAATGCCAGCCTCGTAGCATTCTTAAATTCATGCAGTTTGGGAACTAGTGAAAGTAGCTCGTCAGAGCAGTTACCATGAAAGTATTTGTAGAAACGACAGAGGGAAGCTATGGCACATCCGTGAGAAAGTGACTGTAGATGAGATGCGAGATCAGGACCAATCACATTGCATATCTGTTTCTAGATTTTTCTCGAGGACCTTGAGATGAACAGCGGGGGCTCCAGACCACATATGGCAGTAGTATTCCATGTTGGAATAAAGGTTTTGTACAAGACAGTAAATTAACTTGGAATAACAAGTGTTTCAAAATAAAACAGATCTTACATATTAATTACTTATACACTATTTGAATCTATAATAGCCTTTTGGTATTTTCTCCATTGCTTCTCAAAGAGTTCTGAAATAGTTTAGATATTATTTTGAAGAGTGCTTTCTTTTTGAACTGTCCCATTCTTGACTCTTCTAGAATTATAGTGTCTTACTGTTGAAACACTGGTTCTTGTCTGGTCACCAAAGTTAAGAAACATTGAACATGTTCAGTACCTACATGGGAATACTTGGGAATACTAGGCGCTATAAGATTGGATGGGTTGGTGGTGTAATGGATAAGAGACGCTGAATAAGAAATTGGAGAGCTGAGTTTTAATTCCAGTTGGGTTCTTTACATTCACTCTTGTACAAATGACCTTGGGAAAGGTATGAATCCACCTCTTTTTCCCCCCAAGCTATAAGTTAAATAGTACTACTTGTATGTGAAAAAAATTATTATCAACAAGATTTGTTAATAACAATATTCACTCACAAAAAGAAAGGAATTATTCTTGCAACCCAAACATATGTTTCAGCCTAAATAGCCTACAAAAGGTTCTTAAACCATAAAAAAAATAAACAAATCAATCTAGATTCAGAGAAAAATCTGTTAAAAGAGGAAACTTAGAATGAAAAATAAAATTTTGAAATATTACCAACAATGGCTGGGTATTAATAACCTATGGGCTTACAACCATATTACATTGAGACACCAATTCCTGTATGATCACTGAAGTTAAGCAACATCGAGCTTGGTCAGCACCTTGATGGTTGACCGCTTGGGAATAGCAGGTGCTGTAAGATTGAATGTGTGGGTGGAGTAATACATAATGGCTCAGAATTATTAATTGGAGAGCCATTGTTCCAATTCTAGTTGGGTTCATGATATTCACTTATAAGCAAATACTCTTTGAGAAAAGTATGAATCCACCTCTTCTCACCCCAACTATGGGTTAATTAGTAAGACTTGTATTACTAAATCATTATTATCTCAAAAAAATCTTAGAATATAAAAATATTTTCTGGCTTAAAATAAATTTAGATGAATTCAATGGGGTTGATAAACCATAGAAAAGGAATGATTCAATAACAACAGGAAACCTGGATTTTACAATTTCTAGATTGATTACTTAGAAATAATTTTCTTATTCCTTTCGTTAAAACCCAGAGTTCTTCTTCTCCCAGATGATTTATTATTGATGTGTTAAACCAAAATCTGGTATTTATTACAGAATCTCATATATCCTATTAATCAGTATAATCAATGAATAACATCAATAAAAATCTATGTGTATGTCCTGTTTGTTTATTAATATACCTTGTAATTAAAGCTGATTTTACAAGCATCAAACTGCTCATTTTAGAGATGAGTACATTCACTTGGATGTTTTGGCTTTAAATAACCCACAATAAGCCATAAAATTCAAAACAATCACTCTAGCAAAGCAGATTTTATAAATTTCAACCAAAAGCAGTACTGACTGCTTCGTCAATGAATGCCAAATGCTTCCTTATAAGGAAACAGCTAATATTACTATTGCCAGAAAAACTCATTAATGTGTGGTGGAAGCACAGTGGAGTAATGGATAGCGACTGAATGTGGGGTGGTGGTGGTGTACTTCTTAACAATGTCACAAATTCATGTTTGAACCCAAGTAATTTTAAAATCCAGTCAGTTATGTGCCATGCGGGATACACGCTTAGGTGATCATGTATCTTTCAATACATGACTGACAGAGCAGATTTTTTCCCGCAGTAGGTTGCCATTTCTTTCTGTGGTAGACCAATTGCCATCCAAGGCTATAGAACCCAGTCTTTCCTGCTATTTACCCATAGCTTGAGGGAGGAAAAGAGGATTCATACATTTCTCAAGGATATTAGCACATAAGTGAATGTAATGGATTTGACTGGAATTCAAACACGGCTCTCTGATTCCTCAATCTGAGCCATGATCCATTACTTCACTGTACCTCCAATTTTCAAATTAGGTAGGCCTTAAACTCATTGGTGTGGCAGTGTTCAACTGCAGAGCAACATGCAGCCATTCTCGGTCATGGGATTGATGAGGAAGAGGAGGAAGAAGAAGATGAGGAGGAAGAGGAGGAGGGGGTAGTAGTATTTCTTACTGGTGCCACTAATTCAAACCCAAGTAAAATGTTATGCCTTTCAAATTAGGTATGTCCTCCTTATGTGGTAAACTGGTGCAACACAATCTTCCTAACCACATTTTTCATTTTGTTACCCTAATCAAAATTTAGCAGACATCAGGAAATCTTTACAAAATTAAAAAATAAATGATAATTGGCAGAATTCGATGCATAAATGTATTTTTGTTAATTCAAACAATTCTTCCTGTTTTCATTCATATTTATGAATGAAAATAAAGATTTGATTGGAGAAAATCTCTTCTTGATTCTACTACAGGTCTTTTTCTTGAAGAGATAATCCTCATAAAAGGTCAGCCTCCTGATTTGATGCAAATATTTTATTTCTCATTTCTTCTATAGACAGAATTTTTCTGTCTTATTATCATATTCTAAAAGAAGTATCATTGAATCACTCTTTAAGAAGACATACAATACAAGCATACAAAGTGGCTAGCATAAACTATCTTGTCATTTCCAACAGAGAAATTAGGATATTTTCTTAGCCATGGGCAGTTGTTAAAATAAAAAGAATCGACCATTTTGTAGCACAATGGATACTTTACTTTGTATCATTTTAATTAATATTTTGCTGAAAGCAAAACTTTTTAGAGATTTTTTAAGATTTTTATTTTATTTTTCAGAGAAAAGCATAAGTTATGAAAGAATGACATGATTAAAAGTGATGTTCTTTCTTTTATACCCTCCTATGACAAATTAATTTCAAAAGCCAGGTGCCCTTGACATATCTCCAAAAAAATGTTCTTTTTTCAAATTGTTAAATTTGGCTTCATTACTTTGGAGTCTGTTTGCAGAGGAATGAAAATGTCTGTGGAAATCAAAGAAAGAAAAAAAAAAAAACCTTCCGAGTTCCAGTAAATCATAGCAAGGGAAAACGAAAATAAAAAGTTGCTGAGATTATAAGAAAGAAACTAAAGAAAAGAAAGACAAAGACAAAAAATATTCAAGGCTAAAGAAACCTGTTTCCATTGACAATGGACAGTTTCTCTGAGAGGCTGGCTTTTGACTCTGGAGGAAAGTAACCATAATAAGCAATCCACAAACCTTTTGTTGTATACATCTGTTCCAGATACAAGAGTTCTCATTTTTTCAACATTGCCTTCCACTACAACATGACTCATTTCAAGAGAAAAAACACAGAACTATATATTGTAAAGACATAGACTTTCACACAATCAGCATGAATATACCAAACAGAAGATCATAGAAAGAAAAAGAAAAGATTTTTGAAATTATAATGAGCAAATGAAGGTCTAGCTTAATAATAAAACAGGCACCTATGAAATGTCTATCTAAGCTTAATTAGATATCTTCTTTTTTGTGCCGAGTCCCTTCAGGATGTAGGCAATCATGGCTCTCCACTTCTCTCTATCCCTTGTAGCTCTCAATATGTTTTGTTCTTTTGATAGTTCTCCTAAACCCTGTTCCATAATCCACTCACTTAATCCTGCTAAGTATATCATGCATTGCTTTCCCTTCTCTCTCTTTCTCCGCTAACTGCCCTGTGAGCATCAGATTCTCCAAGTCCTCCTTTCTCATTACATGTCCCAGAATTTTCAGTTACTTCTTCCTGATGTTAAGTATAAGCTTCCTTCTTGTTTGCATCCTCTCCAAAATCTCATCATTGCTCACATGTTTGGTCCATGGTATCCTTAGCATCCTTCTGTAGAACCATAACTCCATTGCCTCAAGTCTCTTCTTCATCTTTGAGGAGACTGCCCAACACTCGCTGCTGTAAAGGAGGACAGATACCACATAGCAGTTCAGTACTCTTTTCTTTGTTACCAACGAAATCCTCTTGTCTCTTAATACTCTGCCTAGCTTCTGGAATGTGTCTTTCAGATCTCAGCGTCACATTTACTGTCCTCTGTCAGAACGCTTCCCAGATATTTAAATTTCATACCTGCTTGATTTTATGATACAAAAATTAAACTTGTGTTAATAAGTAGTTACTTGGCTTAAAAAAGAAAATGGAAATTTACAAAAGATAATTGTCTTCTAACATTCTTTTCTATGTGCAGCATCCATTCAGGATATGAGCTATTATGGCACTCCCTAACTTCTTATCCTTGCAGGTCCCTGTTCCATCATCCACAAACAAACTCATCAGGTAGGTGGTTCATCAGGTAGGTGGTTCATCAGGTAGGTGGTTCATCAGGTAGGTGTTTCACTGCCTTTCCCTATCTCACTTGCCTTCAATATACCCTGTGAGGGCTAGGTTTTCCAAGTTCTCCATCCTCATTCAGTGATCACTTCTTGATTCTGAATATAAGAGTTCATTTTGTTGGCATTTTCTTCAGAATTTCCTTGTTGATTACTCACTCCATCCATAGAATCCTTGGTATTCTTCTGTAGAACTACATCTATGCTGTCTCCATTTTTCTCATCATCTGTGAGTAGATTGTCCTGCATTCACTGCCATATCAGAGGATGGATGCCACATAGCAATCCAGCAATCTTTTCTTTGTTTCCAACAAGATTTTTCTGTTTCTCATAACTTTACTTATTGTTTTTTTGGAAGACATCTTTCTCTAGTCCAATGTGTGTTCTGATTTTGGTATTGCATTTTTCACCTTGTTTTAAAACACTTCCCAGATACTTAAACTTCTCTGCCTCTCCAATTTGTAACTCACATCTTTGGATTTTTCTCTTGCATATGACCATACTTTCTGTCTTTGCACAGTTGATAGTTAGTCCTTTTTTCTTGCTTTCTTTTACTACCCTGCCTAGGAGCTATGGTAGTCTTCTTTCCATGTCACCCCTCAATACAATAATATCTGAATATCTTATATTTTTAAGATTATCACTTGATTGTGTCTGCAAGATTTGTTATTTTTCATTGTATTTTGCAGTTTTGTAATTTAAAGATTTTACAATTATTAGACATAAAAAATGAACAGAAGGGATTACATGAACTTCTTCTTTTATGTGCATTGTCCCTTCAGAATGTAGGCAATCAAGGCCCTCCATAACTTCCTATCTTTCTCTAAGCAATGCTTGTCCCCTTAAAAAGTTCAGGTTATACCATCCATTTACACAAGCTCTTTCAGTAGGATTCCTTCTACACTTTTTACCATCAATATGTCTTATGAGTGTTCAATTTTCCAAGCCCTCTTTTGAAAGTATCACAGAAATTTCAACTGTCTCTTTATACACAAGTGTCCTTTTTGTTCCCATTTTACTTCAAACTTCCACATTTATCATATGCTACATCCATGGTATTCTAAGTATCCTTCTGTAGAACTACATCTCTGTTGCCTCAAAAAGACATAATGAGGAAAGTGGATGTGAATAAGTGAATATTACCAGGGAATGTGAGACATTAATTAACCTTGTTAATGAACTTATATAAATGCATGATAGAAAATGAATTTAGTGGGATAATAAAGGAACAATATTTCTTCTTCTTCTTCATCATCATCATCGTGTTTCTCCTCCTTCTCCTTCTCTCCTCCTCCTCCTGCACCTCCATCTTATTCTCCTTCCCTTCTCTGCTCCTCCTCCTTATTTTCCTCCCCTGCTCCTCCTCCTCCTTCTCCTTCATCTTCTCCTTCTCATTCTTATTCTCTGCCTCTGATTCTACTCCTCTTCCTACTTCTTCTTCTTCTTCTTCTTCTTCTTCTTCTTCTTCTTCTTCTTCTATGTGCCATGCCCCTTCAAGATGTAGGTGTCCATGAAACTTTCACAATTTCCTATCTTTTATAGCTATGAATGCTGGACAATCTCCTCACAGATTAGGAAATGACTTGAAGCAACAGAAATATCATTTTACAGAATGTTGCTGAGGATACCATGGATCAAACATATGAGCAATGAAAAAAATTTTGAGAAAATGGTAAAAAAAGGGATACTTATGACATCAAGAAAAGATAGTTGAAATTTTTAGGGCACATCATGAGAAAAGTGGGCTTGGAAAATTTGATACTCACAGAATAGATATAAAAGCAAGAGGGACAGAAGAAAACAGTACATAACCTACCAATGAATGGGGGAATAAGTTTTAGGAGAGATGGAAAAAAGACAATATCTATTAAGAGCTAAAAATGTCAGGAAATTGTGGAGAGTCACAATCTCCTACATCCTGAGGGGATCCAACTCAAAGAAGAAGAAGAATGCAAAAGTAAAACCTTAATTCTGAACAGCTTCCAATCTTAGAAATGATTCTTCTTGGAGATCCATGGAAATTTTTTTAAAAATATTGATAATCCATCCAAAATGGAAACAAAGATGATGTTTATCCTTAGAATCAGAAAAAGAAAATTGAAATTTCTAAACAATGAAAAAAGATGGTTTGGAGAATTTGACACTCACAGAATATATTAAAATCAAGAGAGACAGAGGGAAGCAGCAAGTTTTTGTAAATAGAAAGCAGAACATGGAGTGGAAGGGATTGTAAAAAGACAAACTTACTAAGAG